GAGCTGCAGAGGGATTTGGATCCCACCAGGCAGTGGTGATAACACCACCCAGTGCCACCATCCTCCATGGATGCAGTCGTTCTCCCTCGCAGGGTCAAGATGGGAGCATGGTATTGGCTTCCAGTCCTGGTACTTGAGGTTTGGGGTAGGAAAACAGGGCAGAGCCCTTGGGAAAGCCTGAAATGCCCACCAGGAAGTCTTGGTGTCCCTGGGACTCTGGGAAATAGCCCCATCTCTTCCTGAAGCACAACCAGCCTGCGGGCACGGGAAAGGATTGGGATGGGGTGTTCCAGGAAGCAGGTGAGAGTGCTTTGGAGGGGAATTCACTGCCTTAAAAAAAGATTCCAGCCCAGGAGAGGTGGGTGCTCCATCCCAGAGCTGGGGTGCTCAATCCCTGGCTCCTGGGGCACCAGGACATGGCTGGTGACACGCAGCTCCTTCCCCGCAGTGCTGGGCCGAGTGCTGGAGGTGACGGACCTGCCCGAGGGCATCACACGGACAGAGGCCGACAAACTCTTCACCCAACTCGCCATGGCCGGTGCCAAAATCCAGTGGCTCAAAGAGACTCAGGGGCGCCGCGGGGACGGAGGCGGCGGCGGGGACAACAGCGGGACTCCGGAGAACGGCAGGCACAGTGACCTCGCTGCCTTATACACCATCGTGGCCGTGTTCCCCAGCCCGCTGGCCGCCCAAAACGCCTCCCTCCGCCTCAACAACTCCCTCAGCCGCTTCAAGCTGCGTGTGGCCAAAAAGAACTACGACCTGCGGGTGCTGGAGCGGGCGAGCTCCCAGTAGAGCTCCCGCGGGCACCGGGCACTCCCCTGGGCCTCTTCTCCTCCTGCCCTCCCTTCCTCTCGCCCTCCTTCCTTGATATATTTATATGAACATAATTAAGAGACAAGAAGTTGATTTTTTTTTTTTTTTTAATTATTATTATTTTTTGGAGTGACGCCCGTGTCCGCCCCCCTCCCCTGTGTCTATGGTTTTGTTTAAGCACTGTGTTGGACCGCACATACAGGTGTTGATTGGTATGTTCACTGCACATTTTATTTAATCGGATTATTATTTTGCGGGGGGGTTATTTTTTGGTTTTATTTTATTTGGGGGGGTTGTTTTTAAATAAAAGAAAAAAAAAGGAAAATTGTCCGTCRCTCGAACGTAACTTCCCATTCTCTGCCAGTGCCAGTGCTGGGGGCTTTGTGCTGCCTCAGTGGGGTCAGGGGACAGCAGAAGGGACACTGGGGATGGTCCTGCCTGTTCGTACCCCCGAGCTTGGCATGTCCAAGGGCTGCAAACCCATGRTGTGCCCAAAGCTGGGAACCAGGCTGGGATCAGAGCRTTTGGATTTGRGCTGGACTTTCCTGACAGATGTTCSTGGTYCCAGCTGTGGAATTCCAGGGCAGGAATGAGGGCACCAGCTGTGTGAAGCATCATATCCCTGCTGACGGGAGTGGCACCTGGAGGTGGCAGGTGCAGGTGGGGACAGGATTTGGGGTTGGCACAGCCAGAGCCTCTGGCAGGGTGGGGATGCTCCCAGACTTCCTGAGCAGGTACAGGTGGACAGGTAAGAGCTGCCAGAAAAGCGGGGCTTGTGCCAATTCCCACCTCACTGCCACCCCCAGCCAGGAGCCTCAGGGACCCTGGGGTGTCCCTGACCAGGGGCACCCTGGCAGCAGCAGATCCCAGCCCAACAGAGCCTGGATCAACAGGATTTTGTGCCAGAGGGTGGCAAAGCACCCGCTCCACCCCACGAGAGACCCCACTGCTGCCCCTCCGAGCCCCCAGCCTCAGAAACCTCCACTACACGAGGCCGGAGCCTTCGCTGTGCCCGGCTCCTGGAACCCTCTGTGTGCCCGATTCCTGGAGCCCTGGCTGTGCCCGRTTCCTCCTCTGTCCCATGCCAGCCTGGGGGGGCCCCTGGCACGCCCAGCAACCCACCAACGCAAATAGCCGGTGGCTCCTCCGCCCGCTGCCGCCCGGCGCACGCTGGGGCTCCAATTTCCCGGCGTCAGCCCCCGCCGCCGCTCAGCTGTCGTCCCCCTGTGCCCTGTCACTCCGCTCGCCACCGGACCGCGGCGGCTGCCGCCCTCCCCTCGCACCCGGCACGGGGGGCTGGGGGCTCTGCAGCCCACGGGGCACCGGTCACCCTTTGGGGGTTTCTTCAGCGCAGGGCGACATCTCCAAGCACAGGGTAAGTGCCCACCCTGGGCTCCCCCGCTGCTGCAGGGCCTCGGGGTGCTCCATTCCCGCGGTGCCCCAGTCCCATCGCTGCTTTCTGGTGGTTTTTCTGGCTGCTGGAGGGGTTTGGGCAGGGTGGGTATCACCCAAAACAGTGAGATCTGCGTGGAAGCGCCGCGGGGTGTCAAAGGTGGCGTCGGGATGGTTTGGGGGATGTAGGAGCGGGTCGTCCCCCGGTGGCAGCCAAAAACCGGATGGTGCCCATCAATGTCCCCCAAGCGCTCACCCGAGGGGCTGAGAGTGGCACCGTTTGCAGTTTGGAGATGCCCAGGCCCAGGTGGGCACATGCCGGTAGCCCAGGGGCCAGCTGGTGGCACTTGGCACCACGTGCCCGGGTCAGCGGATGTGCCACGCTCTGGGCTGGGCACCGGACTGGCCGGGGCAGGGGTTGAGGGATGGGCAGTGGGAGTGACCCTCGATGGGGCAGGGGTTGAGGGAGTGATCCTCGATGGGGCAGAGGTTGAGGGATGGGCAGTGGGAGTGACCCTCGATGGGGCAGGGGCTGCAGGATGGGCAGAGGAGTGACCCTCGATAGGACAAGGGTTGAGGGAGTGACCCTCGATGGGGCAGGAGCTGCAGGATGGGCAGTGGGAGTGACCCTCGATGGGGCAGGAGTTGAGGGATGGGCACTGGGAGTGACCCTCGATGGGACAGGGGCTGCAGGATGGGCACTGGGAGCGACCCTCTATGGGGCAGGGGTTGCAGAAGCGGTGCGAGTGACCCTCGATGGGACAGAGGTTGAGGGATGGGCAGGGGAGTGACCCTCGATGGGACAGGGGTTGAGGGAGTGACCCTCGATGGGACAGGAGCTGCAGTCTGGGAGGTGGGAGTGACCCTCGATGGGACAGAGGTTGAGGGAGTGACCCTCGATGGGACAGGAGCTGCAGGATGGGCAGGGGAGTGACCCTCGATGGGACAGAGGTTGAGGGAGTGACCCTCGATGGGACAGGAGCTGCAGGATGGGCAGCGGGATCGGCCCCACCGTTTCCCTGGGCAGAACCAGCCCTTGCCAGGACAGGGGCAGGGGAAGGGGTGGCACTGCCCACCCAAMAGGGTGTGACCGCTTCAGCCCCTGCCGGGCTCCTGCAGCCGGACCTGCCCCAACCAACGCCATCTCCATCTCTTCCCCTCGCAGCATGACGGAGAAGGAGGTTCCAGAGCCACCAGCTTCACCTGCTTCAGGTGGGAAACCCAAGACCCGGGTAAGTGGGTGCCCACAGGGCAGTTTGGGTGCGTGGGGGAAGGCACCGCTCATCGTGCTGCTGCAGCCCCAGGAGGATTTGGGAGGCCGGGGGTGCTGGTGGGACCCCGATCCCACTGGGCTTTTCCCAGCTTTGCTTTTCCCCGGCTCACCCACATCCACGAGGCGCTCAGGAGCCACAGTTTCCATTTTTGTGGGGATTTCATGGGAATGGGGGGAGGATCCCCATCCTCAGAACATTCCTGGGGTCTCCTCCTGCTTGTGGAGGCGAGGAGCCGGGCACGGGGGTCTCTGCCCTCCTGCCCCCCGCATCTCCGCGCCCCATCTCTCCTCTCCTGCCCCAGCAGCTGCAGAAGCTGAAGCAATTTCTCCAGCGAAAACCCAAAGAGGAGCCGGCACCGGAGCCGCAGCCCAACGGGGAGCTGGTCAGCCCCACGGGGGGACCCATTTACTACATCTATGAGGATGAAGAAGAGGAGGAAGAGGAGGAGGAGCCCGAGCCCCCTCCCGAACCCGAGAAACTTGTCAACGACAAACCCCACAAGTTCAAAGACCATTACTTCAAAAAGCCCAAATTCTGTGATGTTTGTGCCCGCATGATTGTCCGTGAGTCCCGAGGGGGTCGGGGGGTCACGGGCGGGGCTGGGGGCCGCACGCAGGGTTGGGGCTGGGGGCCAAGGCTGCCCGGGGCTCTGTCCCGTCCCTTTCACAGCTGCAGTGTCACATTCCCTCTCCTTTCCATCCCGCCACTGCCAGTCAACAACAAATTTGGCCTGAGGTGCAAGAACTGCAAAACCAACATCCACCACCACTGCCAGACCTACGTGGAGATGCAGCGCTGCTTCGGCAAGATCGTGAGTGTC